TCTCGCCCGAAATCGGTGCGATTTCTAGTATATGTGCGATTAAAATCGCAGTCGCATTGTCGCAGCGGCTCTGCAACTGGTTTCCAGCATGTTGGTATTTTGCCGCAGAGCCGGTGCGATCGCTTTCTCGTCAATCAGCCGTTCATTAGCCAGCTTTCATCCGCGAAAATAAATGTAGGCACATAAAAGCTTCTGATTTAATGCTTCGCTATTATAAATTTCTGGTTACATATTGCATTCCTAAAACATGTATGCTTATTGAGACGTTTTTGTTGTATTTTAGACAAAGTGAAACGCGTCGCGTCCGTGTCCGAAGCGCCAGTCGCTCCGACAGAAATCGCGCGGTTGTTGGAGCATGTGAAACCAAACATTGCGATCGCACTCGCTGCGTCGGCTGTCGCACCGATTTTTTTTTTTTTTTTTCGCACAGTCGCTGCATGTGAAACTGTCTTAAGAGAGAAGTCGCATAGTAGTTCTGTGATTTCTGTGGTGTTCCGTTCCGTGCTTAGATTTGGCAGTGTTTCAGTAGTTTACTTTAGGGGCGGGCGTTCACTCTGAATTTTACATACCTGTGCACGAGGAATCGGCTGTAATTGTCGGGAGAAAGCTTCCTGTTTGGCGTGGTTTAGTACATCCCTGTTTTCTGGTAGAATTTGACGTGGTGCTCTTTTCTTTTAGGCTTCGTATTCTACTGCTGCCCGAAGGAAATTCCATCGGGATCTTTCTACCAGACAAGGTGTCGCGATCGTCCCTGTGTGGTTTTGATTCCAGAAAGTGGAACAGTGTCTGATGCGGGACCTAGTGATAGTGAAGTGAGTGACGGTGACGAGGAGAACTTGCCAACGAGGGGCCTAACAACAGAACTTCCAAGCGATAACGAAACTGAAGGCAGAACGCCCGCCTGTCCACTTCTGTCAACGTCAAGAAAGAAGCAAAAGTCACCGCCGCAAGTTTTTGACTGGGGAGAAGAAGACCGGTGTTTTCTGGAGCCTGCGGAACCCATGTTTACGGCCTCTGATGGTGTCAAATGCCGACTGAAATATTTTCAAGTTTTCATTGATGACAAGCTGCTGACGATTGTTGACGAGACAAACCTGTATTCTTTCCATCAGGCTATTGCATATAGGTAAACGTTTGTTACACTGTGCCAACATGCTTACGCAAAGTACATGTTATTTGAAGTGAATCGTTGCATCGCCCCTTCAATTAAGCACCTTATAAAATCAAATGTGGTGTTTGAGCTCTGTACATCTTATTTAATTTTACAAGAAAACATGTTTTCGTTCAACACCATACATATATCCGTAATGTGTGCTCACCAGAGGCACCCTGGTGTGCATGTCAGGCCAGTTTGGTGTGCCTTGTTGTGGACATTAGACCAGTCTGGTGTGGCGTAGTGTGCACATCAAGCCATTCTGGTATGCTGTGTTGTGCACATCAGACCAGCCTGGTGTGTTTTGATGTGCACATCAGACCACACTAGGATGATGTGATGGGCACACCAAACCAGCCTGACGTATTCTGGTGGGGACAACAGAACACATTAGGCTGGTCTGATGTGTGCACCAGAACACAACAGGCCGGTCTGATGTTTACGTCAGAAAACACTAGGACACACCAAACCGGTCTGGTGGATTTTTCAATAGGGTTCCCAGAGAACAAATGCCGTTGCAATAATTTCAGAAGTACCGACACACATAATGTTGTAAGTACAGCTTAGGCGGAATATGATGAAAACTATCAGAATAAATTGAAAGATGTTTATTTGCAATGACGACGCTAGGAATGAACCGCGTTTAGCGACGGCAAGTTATGAGCGTTTGTAATTTTTAAGTTCACGTGATTGCTAACTATGGACATGCGGACATTGAAGACCTGTTTTGTCGGGAGATGGAGTTGCGGTGATGACCTGATATCGGACGACTCGCGGCAGACGAACAAGCAAGTTTGTTCTTAGCGGATGGTAAGCGTCCAGTGTCAAGCACAGCGCGTGGCTATAGCGACGTTGTCGACGCGAACACTTACCGCTTTCGACAAAAGTGCTGGCACCTGGGCTAACTTTGTGGAAAGACTCGAAGTCTTCCTCGAGTCCAGTGCCATCATGAACAGTAACTGAAAACGATCTACCATTTAGTCGGTGGGTGGCGAAATGTATCAGCATCTGCGGATTCATGGTCGATGCGTACTCTAAGTGGTTGGAAGTTTACACGATACCTGCCACGATGTCCAAACGCGTCATTGACGTTCTACGCTCTCTTTTCCCTACTTTTGCCCTACCTAAAATACTTTTCTCTGATAACACGCCAAATCCTGCTTCAAATAAAGTAAACATATTAAAAAAAAAAACGGCATTAGGCATCACATTAGTGCACACTTCCATACTGTAACTAACGGGCAAGCAGAACAGATGGTGTGCGAAACGAAGAAAACCCTCTTGAAGCTTACGGAAGGAGCAGTTCGGTGAAGAATCGCCAAGTTCTTGTTCCAGCAGCACGTGACGGTCTCAGCTTACACGGTAAAAATACCCGCCGAAGCAATGTTTGGCGGACGAAGAGCCACACCCCTCGATCTCATGATACTATGGCCTTCGAACGAAGATTGAGAGATTCCCAGAGCGGGAGTAATGGCAGTTTATTCGGTCGGACAACTCGTCTACGTGAAGAATTTCAGCGGAAGTCGGGCCTTCCATGTAAAACTTGAGTAGAAAAGGCTTTATGTTGGTTGACCAGAAGGTGTCATCCCTCTGAATACGTTGGATATCAATGCCCTTGAGTGTAACTATAACGAAATCACAAAACTCTCTTTGTTTATTGCCTAACTGCCCTTGTATTTGGTAGTAGAAGCTATGGCGGTGATTTGGACTTTCCATACCAGGCTCCTTTTTCTTATTTTTCGCCTCATGCTCCTTTGCGGTTTCAGTAGGCTTCAAGAATCTTTTGGAACGGGGACACTTTACATCAACGAGGCCATTTGTTCCCAGTAGTCAATCAGGGAATGCTGCTAGAAATTCGTCCCCCATATTAACGAATAAGCCTCACTTCTGCACAGCACAGTTTTCCTGTTCCACGTACAGTTGTAAAGCAGCATCCTCATCGATTCTACCATATTCTGTTGCGGGTGAAGAAAGGCCTTTGACTACACGATACTTGAAACAAGTCTGGCACTGTACGTTGTGGTTCGACACCCACTAATGTGGTCGTCCTTATAGAGCCTCATCATTTAATCATTACCTCGTCACCTCATATTGCTCTTCATCAACAGTAAGTACAATAAACCAGCGCAAGCTCGCGCGTTCTCTCTTCTGAGACGGTTAGAACGGTCGCACACAAAACCCGCGTTTCTCCTACCCGACCGCTTCCTCGTCTCATTATATGTAGTTGGTTATAACTAAATAAGCTATAATAATGGTGTATTATTCATATTTAGTTTCAGTTTTAGTCAGGAGAAGGGAGGTTCGCGGGAACTAGAGCCAATAAATGAGCTGCGCGTAGAGTATTGGCACTCCGTTGCCCGACATTGTTGTGGGCGCCGCCATTTTGGCTCGTATGCAGAACATACGCAACGGCCGATCGTCATGATTCAAAAGTGCGACTTCCTCAGCATTAGATTCGGTGTTAGGAAGGTAATGTAATATTGATTTGCTCTGTCGCGAACGGTTTAAACATTTGTGGAGGGCGGAAAAGCATTTCCTGTGATTTCAGATAAAGCTTCAGATAACTGGCAACCATGATTTTAAGCCACAATATGGCCAAGTGTCGTTACTCTGAAGCGTAGCTTATTTAGTGGCACTAGGCACTCTCTTCCCCGACAGTGTTGTGGGCGCCGCCATTTTGGTGCTTGTGCAGAGCAGGCGCAACTGCCGATCGTCATGATTCAAAAGTGCGACTTCCTCAGCATAAGATTCGGTGTTACGAAGGTCATGTAATATTGCTTTGCTTTGTCGCAAACTGTTTAAAGTGGAGGACGGAAAAGCGTTTCTTGTGATTTCAGATAAAGCTTCAAATAACTGGCAACCACAATATGGCCAAGTGTCGCTACTCTGAAGCGCAGCTTATTTAATGACACTATTCATGCCCTTGTTCAAGAAGCTTGTAATACCGGGAGGGGCCATGACGTAAGCCCCGTGGATTCCACAAGCCACTACCTTTGGACACCTGCCTCTTCCTCATTGTTCCCGCTAGTGCCAGTAAATTAGCTACGCTTCAGAGTAACGCCACTTAGCCATATTGTGGCTTAAAATCATGGTTGCCAGTTATCTAAAGCTTTATGTAAAATCACAGGAAACGCTTTTCGGTCCTTCACAAATGTTTAAACAACCCGCGACAGAGCATAACAATATTGCATCAGCTTCCTAGCACCGCATGTAATGCTGAGGAAGTGCTGAGGAAGTCGCACTTTTGGATCATGACGATAGGCAGTTGCGTTTGCTCTGCACAAGACCCAAAATGGCGGCGCCCAAAACGATTTTGGGGAACGGTGTGCCGATACTTTAAGCGCAGCTCATTTTGTGACTCTAGCCTTGAAGTGAGCTCGGGTGTATTCTTTTCATCTTCGTTTTCATTGTTTATTGATTTCAATCATATCGAATAATGAACATATTATGTCACGCTCCGCTCGTGTAATTATTTGTCTTTGTTTTATTAACCTGACCCGGCAGTGCTTAAAACATTCATTTATCGATAGTAAATATTCCAATATATTTTCTAAATGTGACGGTAAAAAGACACGGAGATTGATGATGATACAGACGCCAACGCCGCCCTCGGAACTTTTTTGAACATTAGAAATCTGCAGTTTTGTCTGCCCTCCGCCAGGTATCGCAACAAAACACCCAAACAGTTTTAGAGCGCAGCTCTTAGGCGCCCGTTTCCGGCTTGAGCGGTGTCGGCGTCGCCGTTGTCGTCGGCGCAACCAAGCTCACCCCAAGGTCACGTGACCCCCAAGGCTATATTTATGTTATCCTTTCTCTTTTAGGAGGACGTTCCCGTTAGTCTGTGGTTATGTATCGCAATAGAAGCATCATACTGCTCGTACTTTTCGCCGTGGTGCTTCTTCTACCGGCATTTCAAGTTGGTAAGTCGTTTTAGAGATATGGACATTTAACAAATATATTATTGTGTTTCTGATTTCTCTCGAAATATTTTTGCCAGTTTTACTTCTTTAAGAAACACCTGTGATTGAATGCCACCGCTGCTTTCTGAACGTCGTTTGATATTGAAACCAATGCTTTAGAACGTCAGGTGCCTGACGAGGTTGTAACAAGTAGTGTCAATATACATCTGACAAAGAGGAAGGCTAGCGCATCACAAAGCATTGAAAGGTGCACTAAGGAGGTTCCTGAGATCTACTAAATACGGCGATAACTCACTCTGCGGGTTTTAAGCATCCTAGAAATCCATAATTCATAACAATGCACCACCGATTTCCCTATCAAAAGAGCAATCAAATATCGAAGACTCCGAAATCATCTCCGGCGATAGGAGGAGCACTGTTTTGGCAGCCAGGACAACATAAAACCAATGGAATATATATATATTTTCTTTTTTTTTGCGAGATTGATGTGTTTTGAATCGTATTACGGGCTGTAAGGGCAACGAGCCGCGCGCATTCAAGATAGCACTCCGCGGTTCCACTGGTACGAGGCGCCAGAATCCTTCGCTTGCTATTGGCTGACAGTGGTCCTGGTTTCGGAACACGCTCCACCCATCGCCGGAGATGACCTTAGTGTATTGCAATATAGCCAATGCAATTTTATTAGTAAAATTGGCAGCGTATTGTAATGATTTAGGAATTTCTCAGATAGTTAGATCCAGCAGAGTGAGTCATCCACCATATTTAGGCGATCTCAGGAACATCCTCAGGGCACTTTTAAGCGTCTCATACGTGCTACGCTCTTGAACGCTCATGTTTTGTCTATTACATGCTTTCAGGAAATTGGATTATCTTGATGTGGCAAATGTAGCTGTCGCGACCCTCCGGAGTATTGCGGTTTTGGAAGCTGTGTAGAGGGTTAAGCAATCAGTTATTAAAAATGCACCAAATGTGTGGTGCTAAAAATAACGGATGATCATGTTTTTCAATATAATTCAATGTTTTCTGCACATGGCCCAATTTGCAAATCTGCCATTAAAATGTTTTGTTGGATAACCTAAAATGATTATTGTTAAAGGAATGCCTTAGAAAAATACCACTAATTTAAGCAATGCTAACACAAACGCATCGTGCTTGCTAAGATAATGCAATTAAGGAAAGGTACAAGCGAGCTGGACAAGAATAATGATTATAACCCCTGGAGAAGGGGAACAAGGGGGACAAAGGACAAACACAAATCTCCAAACTGTGTTTTGAGGTTTCTGTGTTTGGAGATTTGTGTTTGTCCTTTGTCCCCTTTGTTCCCATTTTACAAGGATTACTATCAGCGCTTGCGTTTGCTCGTATACGCAATACTAAAACTCGCAATAATCTCCTTGCCTGGCTGGACCTTCACAACATTTTCTTTCCAGAGGGACTTCTCTCTTTGACTAAACTTGATTTCGAATGCACAAAAATTGTTACTTCTGCCGGATCTATACTTTGCAGACTTTATGGATCTAAGGTAAGTCTTACGAACAATCAAATACAAATTAGATATTTTTAGATAATCCAAAGCTACTTTCGCGTACTTTTTATAATGCGAATACTGATTATTTAATACTGTTTTTACTAAAAACCTGAGTCTGGCATGAAAACGCGTAACATTTTAGGAAACACTCTCAATGTTACCAACTTAGTCACACATCGCGTAAACACTGGGGCACATAAGGAGAAAATACACGGCGCTCTGTCTATATCGTGATTTCTACAGATGTGAGGTGGAGCGAGTAGTTTGACAAGCTCGAAAGCCGAAGGTATTCAAGAGATGAAAACTCGTGGACTTAAAAATTCTGAAGGGCTTTATATTGGCAAATTTTTCTTGCGTAAAATATTTTTACAATTTTTAGCACCATGGAAAGCTTGAAGTTCCTTGTGCTCATTTATTTCTTTGCACTTATGTTGGGCTTGGTTTTTCGCTAGCATAATATCACACATTCCAAGGTTATTTAACACCTAGCACCATATCACAAAGCACTACGGTGCGCTTGACGACTGCCAACGTTACTGATCTACTCACGCACTAAGAGCCCTTTCGTGTAAACTGTGGTAGGGATGCCTTGCTGCATGTCCATCCAGGAGGAACAACACGAAGCCGGGGTTTCCAAAACAAGGAACTACATTTATTAGTATAACAGGATTGATTTGTTAGTAGTCATTTACAGCGATACCATGGCGTCCACCTTCACGATTCCGTGCCTTCGTTCCGTCTCCAACGTTTCGTGAACGTGTCCCCCTTTTATAGGCTCTCGTGCCTATTCTTCATTCGCTGTTGTGCGCTACGGACTTGGTGTCCACTTTGGGCGGTCGGTAGCGGCCCCAGGGAGTAAAGGCGGATCCTCGCCCCCCCAAAAAACAACTTGCGGCTCTGACATTATGCAACTGCGGTGGCGGTACTGTCGTCGCGGCACATCCGTAGACACTGACGCGGATTTGTTCTTTTGCGCACGCGCAGTCCCAACCCCAGGTGTGGTCAGATGCTAAATTGTTTGTTAAGAGGTCTCACCAGCACACTGTTGGCAAACAAGTCCCTGTGTGGTGTGGGCACTGCGTGTGCACAGGAGCCAGACCCGCATCAGGTCATACGTCTGCGCATGCGCTGTGTCGAGAGCAGCACCACTTCAGCTTCGTGACGTCAGGGCCACGTGCCGGTGTGTACACCTCTCCAAGAAATACCCGGGCACAAAATAGAGACCCTTTTTCGAGCCCATTCATGAATGAGCTCCAAAAAGGTAAGAAGCTAGTCTAAAACCCAGGGCACTGGGTTTTAGGCTAGCCTCTTACTGGTGTTCCTAACCGAGTGGACTGTTGATTTCGATAAAAGCAGCCTGCGTAGCCGCAATATCAGATATTTTTGGCGACTATATTCTCGCCTTTTCCCTCATAATATTTCCTTTCATGGTGTATGTATTTTCCGATTAGATTTAAAAAGCACTGTACCATATTAAAGAAATGAAACAATTGGTCGGTGCATAGGTGTATTATGTTGCATAAATTTCCACAGAGCTACATGTGGGTGGCACAAGAAATGAGAGGGGGAGAGGGGGTCGCGCTTCAGAGTCGCGTGAACTGCCCGTGCAGCAGTGGACGCGAGTTCGGTGGCTGTCCAGAGCGATGAACGAAGGTTGTTGAATCACGGCTGCCGGAGCGGCGTCTATCGCCTTTTCAATCAGACAGGAAGCGCGTCACGTTCAAGCGAGCAAACGAGCAAGCCAGCAGATAAGAAATTGCTGCAGAAACCGCTATTGCTGGGTGTCTATGAATTGCGATAGCATTCGTCCAGGACAACCTCAAGGACGACGTCTAAGACGACGTCGAGGACGACATCAAAGACGACGTCTAGGATGACTTCTAAGACGACCTTTAGGACGACCTCAAGGACGACGCCTAGGACGACGTCTAGACCAAGCGATCTTAAGGACGACCTCAAGAACAATATCTAGGATGACGTCGAGAGCAACCTCAAAGTCTGAGGTCCTTCGAAGGAGGTGCGATAGTGAAGGAGTGAGAATGCGAGGAGAAATGGTCTATTGCGATACCTGCTGCACATAAGGAGGCCGGCGTTATCAGTGTGACGTCAGTTCTCTGACCATGTTTTCGTGACATCGATCTCCCAGCTTTGCACACCCTTGCAAGCGCGGAAGAAGACGTAGTTGTACGTAAAAAAAATACACACGGGGTGTCCCCGAAGAATAAAAATACTGTTTTTTTCTCCACAAAAATAAATGACACATTGCCGAACGCTTGGCCTCTGCTTAAAAGTAGTGCTAGCGTTTCGGATCAGATGCCAAAGAACTAATCGCTACCTTAAAGGACCTGTGCAACGATTTTAACGTTGAATGGATTCGCATTTTCTACTTTTCATATTGTTTATCTTGACACAAAGGGCAAAAAACACACCTCCTTTTTTCGAAATGTTGCGATTCCGCCGCGTAATCGCGAGGCAAAAATTAGAATAATCCCCGATCTGCAGCCTCAAGCGGCGGCCATGAGAACCACGCGGCATGACGTCAATGAGGGTCTTGTAGAAAGATAGCAGGTTGTGCGAATACCTGCTTGATAAAAGGTAACCTTTCTATAAATCTTGTCGTTCCAACATAAATACAAATGCGTCAAAAACCTGGTATCATCGACAAAATGTATACGGAGTTTTAGTGTCGCCATCTAACCTAGGTCTACAAAACCGTCCGCTCTATCTGCTACCGCGAACAGCCGCTAGAGGCCGGAGCGGGACGGGGATGGCCGGACCCGGATGAGACTTTCCTCCCTTCACCATATTGTTCGCGCTGCGCCAGCACGTGGTCACGCGGTCGCGAGCGGATGAGTTCTCGCTGCTCACTGATGGCTCTAAAGAGAGAACTTTACCGGAACCCTGCGCAACCCCCATTGACGTCACAGCGCACGTGACTCGGAAGGTGGTGAAGGAGTTGAGAGGTGCCGAAAACCTCAAACTTCGTCTATTAAACAAAAAAAAAAAAAAAAAAAAAAAAACTGGGACATGTAGACAAAAGCGGTTTTTGTTCTTTACTTCAGAAAAGTCGAAGCACCAACTCCCAAATTATAGAAGCCAAGCACTGAAATTGTTGCACAGCTCCTTTAATCGAAAGTTGTAAGCGAACCTCTGAAATGCTGAATGGGAAAAGGGTAGTCTGGACTCTGGAGCCTACGAGTACTTGGGAATGAATTGCGAGGACTACCGACAATGGACACCATGTTCCCATTTAAAGTTTCAGAAAAATCATTCATAACTTTTGAACAAGATAGCGATTTTAGTTCTGAAACTTTGGCATCTGATCCGGACCACAAGCGCAACCTTTGGGCAGAAACTGAGCGTTCGCCGATGTGTAGTTTATTTTTGCGGCGAAACAAACACTGTAAATACTTTTTTGTGTGTGTGGGGGGGGAGGGGGGGGGGGACGCTGTTTATGGAACTGGTGAGCTAATTGGTGAACATTGACAATGCCACTGAACAAAGATTACGCCAGGGGGAATATTCTTAGACTGGTGACCCAGTCACTGGGCATCACCAATGCCCTTCAAATAATGATAATAATAAAAGATTTGCGAGACGAGTGAGCTGATTTGGTGAATCCCATTAAGGTTCTTGACTAAAGACGCGGAGGGGATTTGTGAATCTGGTGGCCCGATCAGTGAACATCACTGACGTCCTCGAAAACAATCATGCAGTGGAAATAGTGCAAAAATGATCGGCCTATCAGGGACATAATTGATGTCCTCGGACAAAGATGCAGGAATACTTCGTGCGACTGGTGGCTTGGTGCGTAGACATCGTGCATGACCTTGGAACAAAAAATTGGCCGGTGCATAGGTGGACTATGCTACATAAATTTTTGTAGAACTACATGTGAGTGGCACAAAAAATCGGAAGAAGCGGCCGGGATTGGTGGGGGTTGCTTGAGAAGCGCGTGAACTGCCCGTGCCGCAAAGGACGCAAGGTCGGCCACTGTCAAGAGCGATGAGCGAAGATACGTAATAGAATTAAGGCTGCCGGAGTGGCGTCTATCGCAATTTCAATCAGACAGGAAGGAGCGCGTCGCGTTGAAGCGTGAAAACGAGCAAGCAAGCAGATAAGAAATTGCTGCAAAAACCACTATTGTTGTTTGTCTATGAATTCCTATAGCTTTCGTCTCGGATAATCTCAAGGACTTTACAGTCTAGACATATGGAGGGCTCTTGAAGGTTGATGTTGCATCGATCAACGGTTCCAACTAGCTCTGCTCGCGCCGGTGGCCTCACTTCATCTTCTTCTTAGCACATGCTCCTTGGTCTTCTTTTCCTGTGAGATGTGTAGTCGGGCGCGTATCCACATTTAGCGAGAAATGTCCTCAATATTTAATATCCTCCCCGCCGAATGAGCATTGCTCATTCGTTATGAGCTTCCAGTTGATGTAACAGTTGAATGGGACGTCTAATCGTTGTTCCTCCTGACAAACGGACCACGCAGGATCGGACGTGGCCGTCTCGTCCCGGGAACACTTGCACGACGCGGCCAGTTTTCCAGGTTTGTCGCGGATGGAAGTCGTCATGCAGTAGCACCAAGTCATTCACCCGTAAATTACTCGAGGCTGCCGGTGTGCTGTGATGAAATGACCTTAAGGTACAGAGATATTCCTGGCGCCAGCGCTTCCATAGGGTGGTCGATAGCATCTCACGGTACTTCCAACGGCGAGTTAGATCGTTGGCTGATGACAACATTGGCTCTCCTCCACGAGTTGGCAAAGAAGTCAGTCGTTTACCGACAAGGAAATGTGCGGGTGTCAATGGTTCTGGTTCGTTCGGGTCAGAGGAGATGGAGGTCAAAGGTCGAGAATTAATTACAGCCTCTATCTCCGTCAATATGGTGCTCAGCTCTTCATAAGTTACGTAACTGCACCCCAGAACCTTTTTCAGAGGGGTCTTAACTGATCGAACCATTCGCTCCCAAAACCCGCCCCACCAAGCCGC